CCTCATCTGGGACCACTGGGGCTCCAAGCAGCTCAGCCTCCACCCCAGCCCATCATGGCACCTCATCTGGAACCAATGGGGCTCCAAGCAGCTCAGCCTCCACCCCAGCCCACAATGACACTTTAGCCCCAACTGCGGGGACTTCATCAGTCTCAGCTGCCACTTCAGTACACAGTGGCACTTCTACTATGGCTACTACAACCCTACTCGACAAGGGTACTAAATCCTCAGTTTCCAGCCAGCCGTCTGACATTTCTACCACCGCTGCCAACATGAGCAACAGTACTGTTGCCAGTAGCAATAGCCATAGCACGGTGCCTCCCTCCACCTCCTGCAATCATAGTTCTCCTTCCCAGGTGTATGTTAGGGTCTCTTTCTTCTCCCTGTCTTTTTACATTTTAAACCTCAAGTTTAATTCTTCCCTGGAAAACCCTAGAACCAACTACTATCAAGAACTGCAGAGGAACATTTCTGAATTGGTGGGTATCTGCCTTTCCTTTGCCATACTCCCTTAGGGCAGCTTTCAGAATTATTTAATCTTTTGCATTAAGCCTGAGTCCTTTTCCTCTCATCCAGGTTTTGCAGGTTTATAAACAAGATGGTTTTCTGGGCCTCTTTAATATCATGTTCAGGTACAGTTCTGGGTCAGACTCTGTGTGTGTGTGTTGGGGCTTGTTGTCATCAATGTTGTGCGGGACCATTGTGTTTAAGGTTGGGGGGAAATAATGAGCCAAAAGCTGGGACCTTTGGCTGAACTGAGTATTTCCTATGACCAGACCAGGATCTGTGGTGGTAGAACTGACTCTCGTCTTCCGGGAGGGTACCACCAATGCCAAAGAAGTGATGTCACAGTTTTATCAGCTCAAAGAGGAAGGATCGAATTATAACCTGAACATCTCAAGAATCAAGGGTGAGGCTACATCCCCAACTAGAGCCGAGCCCCATGAAAGGTCTCCTCTCCCTCCAGTTGTGCTCTTTCCTTTGGTGCTAGCAGGAGGAGGGCTACCTCCTTTTGGAGACTTCCTTGACCACTGCTTTTCCTTTTAGCGAATGAGGTGCTGTTTCCTTCCTCTGCCCAGTCTGGGTCTGGGGTACCAGGCTGGGGCATTGCCCTGCTGGTGCTGGTCTGTGTTCTACTTGCGTTGGCCATCTTATATCTCATTGCCTTGGTAAGTACTCAGTCTCTGGCCTTCACTGGAATCCCCTGGTAGAGGGAACCCTGTGGTCCAGCATACATTCCTGTCTCCCCAGGCGGTGTGTCGGTGTCGCCAAAAGAACTATGGGCATCTGGATATCTTTCCATCCCGGGAAACCTACCATCCTATGAGTGAATACCCCACTTATCACACCCATGGGCGCTATATGCCCCCTGGAAGTACCAACCGTAGCCCCTATGAGGAGGTGAGGCTGGGCCCCCCCAAGCAGGGAATGGAGGCAGAGGCTCTGGCTGGGGAGGTGTCCCAGGGGGGTATTTGGAAACCCAAAGAGCTTGTAAGAGGTGAGCCTTAAAGAGCCTGGCAAGATTGGTGGGGGTGCTCTGGGGCACAGGTCTGGGAAAGAGATCAAGGAAGCAAGGGGACCTCAAGAGGGAATAACCTCGTTACCAACATTCCCCAAAGAGCATTCATTACCTGTCCACATTCACCACTGGCTGAATGGGCACCAGGGCAGTGCTCAGTAGGATGCCCAGAGGCAAAACGGGTGGGGCAGTGTGTCCAGGGGAGCTCTTCCTGCAGAGTCACAAGAGTACACCTGGGCCTGGTTCACCTCCTCCTTGGAGTGGGGAGTAGATTGAGAAAGGCTGGGGGGTCTCCAGGGGAGAGGAAGAAATCTCAACCAAATCAGGTAGCGGAGCTGAGGGGTTCCTGGGAGCCTCAGGGAAGCAAGGACACCCCCCCACCACCTGTACACACACACACACACACACACACACACACACACACACACACACACACACTGCCTTTCTGTGCAGGACCTAGTAAATAATTATAGCAGTCACCCAGGACTGGAAAGCCACTCAAGTGGGGGAGGAGATGAGTTTCCTTTTCCTGCCTCCCTTTCTCTCCTTCTGGGGATCTCCTTCTCCCAGTTTTATATGCTCGCGTGCGCACAACCCCCCACTTGGGCTGGAGGAGCAGAAAATGGAGAGAGAAGCAGGCGAGGTGCAGGCTGGGCAGGCCAGGGGGCTGAGCAGAGCCGGGGGAGGGAGTGGAAGGGAGCAGTGAGAGGAGCCGCTGTTTACAGTCACCTGGCTGCTGGTGGGGCTGCAGGTGCTGTCTCCAAGTTAACCCCTTGAGAGCTGATCCAGTCCCTGGGCTGACTACCCCAGACTGGGGAGCCATCCAGCGGTCCCAAGAGATAGCTTTTGCCCCTCACCCTGGATCTCTTTTCCCTCCACCCAGGTGTCTGCAGGCAATGGCGGAGGCAGCCTCTCTTACACGAACCCAGCAGTGGCAGCCACTTCTGCCAACTTGTAGGGACAGGTCACCTGCTCAGCGCTCAGCTGCCAGAAGTGCCTCAGGTTCTTCACTGCCAGAGCCCCTCTCTCCCAATCTGGGCTGATGAGCTGGGAATTCCGGTGGGCTGCTCACAGCCTCCCTCAGAGGCTTTACCAAGCCCCCTAACCCATCTTAGCCTGGTGAAGCCCAGCTGTGCCCCGGGGGATATGCCTGGGACAGTGGGGCCCTGGTAGCTCTCAGGAGGATTGGCCTAGAAATTCTGGCAATGGAGGTGAGAACCCAAACCTGACTGAATAAAATGTGGCCTCTTGTCGTGCCAACTTGTGATCTTTCAATCTGCAACTGGTGGAAAGGAGGGTCCATTAGAATGTGTCAGAGATGGAACCCTGGAAGGGACTTTTGGGAGGTTGGAGGTGGAAAGGAGGCAAGGAGCAGGGTTTGAGAAGCCGATGTGGGGAAAGAGGTGATACTGGGGCATAGGGTGACCTGCTGGAGAACTCAAGAGTCACCTCTCCTCCATTCCTGGTGGCACAGGAGGAAGAAGGAAATGAAACCTCCTAGGCCTGCTCCGGTGGGCCAGGATGACTCGGCTCCGTCAGCACGTGGCTCAGCCAGTGGATGGCTGTCCCCTCTCCTCCAGCCTGGGTTTCACTGGGCTGGCCACCCTCCTCTCCTGCTGGCACTGTGCCCCCAGGCAGCTCTATTCTTAGCTGCCTGGGTGTGAAGCAAATCCTTGGGCAGTGATAACAGCACCAGAGTCAACACCACTGTGATAAGTGGGGGCTGGGTCAGATCCGGCAGCTGGCGCCAGACCCTGCCCCCACCCTGGCCCCTCAACGCCACACCCACTGCTAACCCTAGGGTGGGATCCCAGGCACCCTGAGAATGGGGAAGTGATTCTGGTTCCGTGACCCTTTTAGGCCCAGGCACGATGCCCGGGCCCTGAACCACATTCCCCCCGGGGCCCAGTGTGGCTGTCCAGGTGCCCGGTCTAGGACCTGACGCAGCAGCCAGGGTGCTGTGCCTCCTGGCAGCTATGGTAAGCTGGGGCCTGGGCCTAGCACAGGTGTGGCAGGAGGCTGGGAGTACCTGGCTTGGGTAGCTCCTTCCCTCAAGCACCCTACCCTGACCAAAGCACCTTGGAACCCTTCCACCCCCATACACTGCACAGAAACCAAGAGGAATGGTCACGCTCGGGGAAGGCAGAAATGTGCCTGGCGTCACAGTTTATTGTTATAAACCATGAAAGTTACAGCTGTTGCTTGGCCCAGGTCTAGAGTGCCCACTGCAGGGAGGCAGCAGCAAGCACGAGACGCCTTGCCTGGCCCAACCCAGCAGGAACATCCAGCCTCAGCCGGGTCCCCAAGGGAGACTTGGCACGTTGGCATGGGTACGGGACAGGTAAAGCATGCAAGCGGGAAAAGAGGGAGGTAAGGGGCATGCGGCTGGGGGGTAGGGGAGACCCAAATAAAGCAGGATGATAGGGTCCCGTCCCCACTCGGGAGACCAAAAGCCCGTCTGCCCCAAGGCTGTACGTAGTTCAGCATCAACGGGGCAGGGAGTTTGGCAAGGCAAAGGGCAGAGCTGGGGATCATGCCCAGTATTCCAGGCGCCCTCCCTCCCAGTCAGCCTTGGCACAAGACAGGGGTGAGGAAGGGGCTCTCTCCATGATTTGGGTAAGATGCCAAGGGCAAGGCAAGGGGCGGAGGCTTGGTGGGCATGGGGGCTGGGGCTAACTAACAGGCAATGGAGAGAATGGGGGGCATCCAGAGAGGTGAGCTGAGGAGAGTCCCTTGGTCAAGAGAAAGCCCTGGGAAGACACAGACAGAAGGTGAGGGGCAGGACCACATATCAGGAAGAGTTGAGGGAGATGTTGCTGGGGAAACAACCCAGTGTGGGAGGCTCGGGGAAGCCAGGGCCCAGTGAGACTCCAGGTCGACAGAGCCGTCGGAAAGGATCAGTCTAGCTTGGCGAAGCCTCCAATGGTGACTTTCCTCTCCGGCTTGGTGCCCACAGGCTCCTGCAGCTGTACCGCACCACCCCCTATGAAGCAGAAGGCAGGGCACACAGGCCCTGAGCAGTCCAGGGGGCACTCGAGGAGCCCCCGGAAGGACACAGCATCCAGGAAAGAGACCCGACCCCGCTCATAGTCCAAGCAGATACCCAGGCGGGGTGGCAGGGGCACTGTGCAGCTGGCAGCCGGGCCATCCCTCCCTGTCAGCCCTGCATTTGAACTTGCTCCAGACCCCAGCAGGATCTTGCCCATGCCGATGGTTAGGAAAGCAAAGGGTGGTAACGCCTCCACGGTGGCATCCTCTGCACCGCTGTCATGCCCGCTGTCCGGGTCATACCTGCGGAAGGGGGAGTTGGGTAGGAGGATGTTGGGGGTGGAATAAGGGAGCCAGGCACAGGAGACCAGGAGGATGAGATGTTGGGAGGATGGAATGCTGGGAGTGAGAGGTGGAACAAATTGACTTTGGATCAAAGAGACAGGGTTCAGAGTATAGGGTTGGGGGCTTGGTTTGGTGGGAAAGGGTTATTGAAAGGAAAGCACATTGATGAGAGACGTTGGAGAAAAGGGAAGGTAAGTATTTGCACAGCACACTAAAGAAATGTGGCAGCTGGATATAGTCACACATGCCTGTAATCCCAGCGACTCTGGAGGCTGAGGCAGGAGGATTACAAATTTGAGGCCAGCCTCAGCAACTTAACAAGACTCCCGATTTCAAAATTTTAAAAAGTGAAAAAGAGCTGGGTGCAATGGTGCATGCCTGTAATCCCAGGGGCTCAGGAGGCTGAAGCAGGAGAATTGCAAGTTCGAAACCAACCGCAGTAACTTAGCAAGGCCCTCAGCAACTTAGAGATACCCTGTCTCAAAATTAAAAATAAAAAGGGCTGGAGATGTGGTAAAGCATCCCTGGATTCAATCCCCTGATACCAAAAAAAGAAAAAAGAAAATAAGAAATAAAAAGAGGGCTGGGTATACAGCTCAGAGATAGAGTGCCCCTGAGTTAAATTCCTAGTACTCTCCACACCAAATGTGGTGCTTATCAAGATAGAAAGATGTTGAGAAAAATGGTGTTCAGGAAATCATGCTGGTACTTGGGATTAACCCAGGGTGCTTTTAACACTAAGCTATATCTCCAGTCCTTTTTTTATTTTTCATTTTGAGACAGGGTCTTGCTAAATTGCTGAGGTTGGCCATGAATTTGTGATTCTCCTGGTTTAGCCTCTTGAGTCACTGGGATTAGAGGGCAAGTCGCTGGGATTACAGGCATGTGCTACTGTGCCTAGCTGGGGAGAGGGTTTTGAGAGTTAGAAAGGATGAGGGGTTAGTGATTAAGATGGGGGAAGGTATGGCTGGGTGCAGTGGTGCATGCCTGTAATCCCAGTGGCTTGGGAGACTAAGACAAGAAGATCATGAGTTCAAATCCAACCTCAGCAAGGTAGCAAGGCCCTAAGCAGCTTAATGAGAACCTTGTCTCAAAATAAAACATTAAAAGGGCTAGGAATGTGGCTCAGTGGTTAAGCGCCCCTGAGTTCAATCCCTGGTATCAAAAAAAAAAAAAAGATGCGGGGAGGGAAACGGCTTGTAGAAATGAGATGTTTAAGGAAAGAATTGAGAAAAGATGGGGGTGAAGGAAGTTCTGGAGGGAAAAAGTTTCATGGAAAAAATAGAGCGCTAGAAAGGACATGAGGATGTGGAGATGTGGGGTTCTGGTCTTGAGTGACAGACAGAAGCAAGTGATAATGGCTTCCCTTCCCTCGTCCCTTTCCCCAGCCACACACCCTGAAAACCAATCCTCAAAGACCCTTGTGCTGAACCCACAGCCTCCCAGCCTGGCTCCTCTGTTCCTGCTGCTTCCTTCCAAACCCCATCACGGCAATTCTGGGTGCTGCACTTGCTACCTCTGCCCTGTCCCTGGCTCCCACCCAGGGTCCCCATTCCCTCCAAAGGGGCCTGACCTGGGGCTGATCACATCCGGGGCACCCTGGAAGCTTTCCTGAAGCTTGCTCTCCAGCCCGACGCCCACCTTGACCAGGTAGGAGGCAGGGTCTACGGCACAGGCCCAGTAGCTGCGGCCCTGGGTCACAGCTACATCGCCCAGGACCACATCCACACTCAGGTGACAGCCAGTCAGCAGCCGCTCAGCAGCCAGCAGCAGGGGCAGCCCGGGGACACTCCGCACTGCTCGCTGGTCCTTACTGATAGCCAGCCGCTCGCGGCTGGCACCCCAGCGGCCATCGAGGAAGAAGTGCAGAACTGGAACAGGGAGGAGGATTGAGACAGAAGGAAGAATCAGGAACAAACGCTGGCACTGGGGACAGTGAGGCGTGAGCACAAGACCCTGGGAGATTTCAGAACAGGGAACAACCTCTCAGGGTGTTCAGTTACCAGGAAGAGGTAGGGGAACGCAGGAGAACGGACCTGGGGAACTGAAATGAGGCTCATAAGAGAAAAAGAAAGGGACATTCCAAGTGGACACGGGCTCCAGGAAGTTTCACTGGTGACTAGTGAACAAGAACCAGAGCCCCAGACCTGACCGACTCACAAGGCCTCCTCCAACCTCTGCCCCGTGGTAGGCCCTCGGGACAGTCGGGGGCTCACACCTGCCCTATATCCAACCCTCCCTCTCTGCCTTTGCTTTGGTGGTAAGTGTCCCCTATCATGCCCAGGTCCCAGCATGCAAACTGTTTTCTAGAGTCACTTTCCTGACATTTATTGAACTATGAGCCAGAAACTGTGCTGTCTTCACCAGTGTTGCCTCAGAACAGTTAAATTCTCACACAACTCGATGAAGCATCTTTATTGTTGTTATTATTCTGTGGGGGACTGGGATTGAACCCAGGATACCACTGAACTATAGCCTCAGCTCTTGTAATTCCCTTTTTTTTTTTTTTCTTTTCTCCATTTTGAGACAGGATCTTGCTAAGTTGACCAGGCTGACCTCAAATTTATGATCCTCCTCCCTGAGCCTCTCAAATTGCTGCAATTATAGACACACACCATCATGCCTGGCAGCAATACTGTCCCCTGTAGAACAGGACTCTGAAGTTCAGAGAGGGTGAAAAACTTGTTGAAAAGCACACAGCAAGAGTTAGATCTGGGATTAGAATACAAGAGGTCTAGCTCCAGAGTATGAATGCACACGACCGACAGTATTAAACCATCCCTCTAAGCTGCCTTTAATCTCAGTTTATGAGGCAAGAGGATCACAAGTTTGAGGCCAGCCTGGACAACTTAGCAAGACCCTGTCTCAATTTTTTTTAAGTT